ACAGTTACAGTGACATAGCCATTACGCTAACTGCTGGTTCCTGATACTTACTCTTGATTCAGAAAAATAGAGGGACGCTTGGTGTTCTCTCTTTCTACCATATCGTATTGGACAGCCCTCCTTTTGAATCCCCAAATTCCCCACCCCATATTAAATTGCTACTGTGCTCTGTAACTGTCTTGACCATTCTCTTGATGCCTTAGAATTCTTTCACTTGCACATCCAAAGTGCTTCCGGAGGCCTGGTTTTAAGAGATTCTCAATCCTGTGTTTTTCTGTCTCATAGATAAAGTGGCCTCGTGAATAGGAATGTCTGCTCAAATGCCAAGATTGGAGATGATGGATGAAGATCGAATAATTGAAGAAGTCTTGGATAAGTTTGTTAATTGTCATGAGCAAACATATGAAGAATTTCTGAGCACTTTTATTCATCTTTCTAAAGAGGATGTGACCAGTAGGGGACCACTTAGAACTAATTTTGCCAAAAGCATATTTACCTCTGTAAAATGTACTCTTTGAAACAAACCATGGGCATTCTTCCATTCCTTTGATCAGGCAATTCTTAGGGCATTTTTGGACTGGTGCATGTAAATATCAATGTGTCTATACATCCAGTAGCTTGTCACGGAGTCAGTACCACTGGACTCAATAACTAAAAATGACCAGAAAGATCAGTATACTCCATTTATTTTAATTTATAAATATATATGTTATATAACTTTTAAAGCATTATTTATTTATTAATTTCATTTGTTATTATTTTTTAAAATTTGACGAGAGAGAGACAGAGAGAGAGAGCAAGAAAGAAAAAGTAAGGAAGCAAGCTGCCAGGTCTGGAACTTGAACCATAGTTGGCCATGTGGGAATCCAGTGCCTTTATCCACCATGCCACCTGCCAGCCCCCTATTTTTTTTTTAAGAAAGGTTTTCGCTGTAGAGTGTGTGTGCTCGCTGGAGAGACAGAGAAAGACAGAGAGATAGAAAGTGAAAAATCACTCCCCAGGGATCGGGTCTTGGTCTTGAACTATGGTCAACTATATGGGAGTCTAGCCACGTAACCTTACGTCCCATATATATACATATATATACATATATATATATATATGTATATATTTTTTTCTTCCATACATTCAATCACATTATTATTTATCTTACAAAATGGACACTTCAACAGGCAAACATCTCTCCCCAGTACGGTTGATAAAACTACGAAATATCTTCAACAAACAACACCACACCTCTTTGTGCCATCAATGTTTTTCCTCCCTGTCCCTCCCCCAAATGCTCTTCCTCAGACCGTCCTCTTTCACACACACTATATCTGGTATTTACATCTAT